TTAGAGTTCCTTTTTCTATAAATAAATTGCATACACAACAGAAACTGTTAATGAATGTATTTGAGTGTGACTTGTAGGTGTGTTTGTGGGTGAAGTGTCTACAGCCCTTTTTGCTTCAGTGTGAAAAGTTGATAGCACACTTCAAAAGGAGGAAAAATAGGAAGAGAGAGTTGCTTAAGTGTTCAATTGTTTTTATACTCTCTGGGCTGCTGCTGATATTATGTTTATTAAGGGCTTCTGCTGATACTATGTTTATTAAAGCACTACTGGTTTGTCAAGTCTTGAAATTGTGGTTGTTCTTTCTCCATATTGACAGGGTCAATTGGGGCTACAGAAATACAAAGAACTGTACCAAATAACAAAAACAGTAATAACTAGAACAGTACATAACTCAAAGAGAAAATAAGGACATAATAAAAGATGCTGATGTTCCATGACAGAACAAACAAGGCTGGAAAATGACATAGTGTCATGGACCTCTGGTTTCAGACCATTCGCTCATAGGTGTATCACCTATGGCACTTCAGACAATGACGACAATGCTCAACACTACTTCAAACAAAAGGTTAGGAAGAATGTCCCCATCAGTCATGGAAAGAACAATAGGTTACTGGAAGTGATTTTGTAATTTCAACTAAAGCTAGTACTGGCTTTTTGGTCAGTGAATGCCAAATGTTTCCTTATAAAGAAACATAATATTACCATTAACATTTTTGGGGTGCAATTATTTGCAATATGTTTTTTTTTTTTTTGTTTTTAAAGCAAAATTATATGCAATGTATTTGTTAATAGCAGAATTACTCAGATTTTTTACCCACAAACATACCTGGAGGGTCCGAAATGTTGGAGTTAAGACACTGAAGATAACACCAATCTGCTAAGTGACAAACTTTATAGTAATTATATAAGGCAAATGTTATTAAAGATATTTTTTTTGTGATAGATTTTATTGATCGACTTTACCAAATTATAAATAATCCTTTTCAGATAAAGATTCCATCAGAATTTGTCCAAAGTTCATGGACCAAGCTTTTTAACCCAGAACTGCCAAAAAAATAAAAAACATCACAACACTCTTTGCCCACGTCACTACACTGACCAGTTGTGATATTCACCATTTATCTCTTTCATAATGACTTTTAAAGTCAAAATCTTGAATGATACTTCTTCCAAAATGAACTGTGGACAGTTTGCTCATCTCTACACTTCTACCTTCCTTTTTTTCATTTTCACACTGGAAGTAGTGATTTTTCTTTTCTTTCTATGCAGTCAAAACAGAATAGTTCATTATTTATGAGGCATTGGCGGGGCATAATGGTTGTGAAAACTAACAAAAGGAGAGACAAGCACAATTATTTGTCCAATAACTGCTATTACATATGAAATATGCAAGTAGGACAGATATATATATATATATATATATATATATAGAAACATACATGCTAACATACATACATGCTAACATGCATACATACATGCATACATACATACATGCTTACATACATACATACATGCTTACATACATACATACATGCTTACATACATACATACAGACATATTATAGTTCCAAATTCACAATCCCAGGTTCAAAAAAAAAAAAAAAAAAAAAAAGGTGGGTTTGCTCAGATAGGAACAGGCACCAATAAACACCACACACAAGATCAACATTTATATAACAAAACAGAAAATATGGAAAAAGTATGGAGTGACAGATACAATTAATAATAAAAAAAAAAAAAAATCACTTAACTGATATTGGATGTCAATTCAAATGTTTGGGTTTCAGGAATTTGGAGTCTAAATATTTGTAATGATAAAGTTGTAGAATATTTACAAAAGTTGGTTGTTCTTCTGTAATGTGAAAGAATTCTGATATAATGTTTCTGTTCCATTTCCCCTTCGTTATCCAAGATGAAAGTAAGATATTTTCTTAGCATTTATTAGGGTACAATATTCCTTTTTCCTTTAAATAATCAAATCCATCCAAGATCTCCAGGATGAAATTTTATTATTCCTTACACAACCAGTAATGGAATAGATTTGTTGGCATATTTCTTGGCCCTCATGTTCACATAATGAGCATATTTTTTTTTTCATGAACTATTGTTGGAGGTCATCAGGGAAACTAAAGTTACAATACCAAAACAACACTTGGTGAGGTATGTCATGTGAGCACAGGTGATAGATTCTTACTCACTTTCTGAGGAGGTCATTCCGTTTGCTGTCAAGTAACCCTAAATTCATTTCCTGTCCTTTTAGTCCAGTAAATAAATAAAAAAAAAACAGGAGGAGGAAAAGAAGAAGCTCAAAGACAATGTGTCTTAAATTTAAATTGATTTAATAGAGGGCCATGTCACTATATATATATATATATATATATGTATATATATATATATATATATATATGAAAATTTCTCCAATTTAACCAGTAGAGAAGACAATATTTATAAATAAAAATGACAATAGGAAAACTGAAAATTTTTCATATTTTGCTTTGATAAAGTCCATATTGGATGAAACGCATCAGCAATTACCAGTTTTCCTATTGTCATTTTTATTCATAAATATATATATATATATATATATATATATATATACACACACACACACAGGGTGTCCATAAAGTTCGTATGCACTTTAAATTTTTTTAACTTTATTTGTATTTGCAATAGGAATAATTTGTAAAAAGGATTAGAAAGAAGTAAATCTATATTTTTTTAAGGTTTTATTGAAATTTTATTTAAGTTTCCACATGTCCTCCATCATTAGCAATACAAAGGGTAATACGATTTTGCAGTTCACGGAAAACATTTGCCAACTGACTTACAGTAATGCCTGAAATCCCATTAGTTATTTTAGCTATACTTAAAACTAGGTACATTAAACTTTATAACATTTTTTACAGATTATTTCTATTGCAAATACAAATAAAGTTATAAATTTTTGAAAGTGCACACGAACTTTATGGACACATATATATATATATATATATATATATATATATATATATATATATATATATAGTGTATTAGGCAGCAACCCTTCATTTATGCACATTTCATATTTTTAAGTGTTGACTAATATTAACTATGAACACGCCCACAATGTGCTAATTGTGTGTAGAAAATAAAACATCTCCATAACACTAAAAAAAAAACATACATACAATTAAACTGAAAAAATAAAATCATCCTTGATTATGGCTGAAAGCACTAGAAATTACAGGACATTTGGACAGTTTCTACACATGTCTAAAAAAGAAAACACTTGTTCAAACACTAGAAAAAGCTTAATCGTAGTACCTTGTCTGTCATTTTTAATGATAAATACATACACATACAACATTTTTATTTTTTTTATTTTTAGGTATTTTAATGTCATGGTATTAAAGCTGAAAGTCACTTGATATTTTACCAAGTTGTCAAAAGAGAAAACTTTTGACAAAGTACCATCTAAATCAATATGACGTTTTTCATGATGTCAAAAAAGATAAAAGTAAATAAAAATGAAATAATGATACTGAATAACTTTTTGTAACTCATCATTTTAGTTTGCTTTAACTTATTTAATGTCATATCCAAATCCAGAGAATAATCTGCAATGTTATCAGTCCTGGCATCTCATCATCGGACATTCCTGACCACAGTAATGTAGCCTCCCTGCACATTTTCTATAAGTGTTTTCATGATATTTGTTCAGATGAGCTTTCCTTTTTGGTACGTTAACTTTAAGAATTTAAGTGCAATTCCAGATTGTCAGCATGGTCTCATTAACAGTTGAGATTTCTAGGAGTTTTGTGCTAAAAGTTTGTTTTTTTTACATTATTCGGGCTATTGTCCTCATTTTTGTCACCATATTTATTACATTTCGGCCATTGTACGCTCCAGCCTCCTTCTTCTGGTTGGAATATCAAACTGAACCCTTTATTTCGCCATGTCTAACGGATGTTAGTTATCAGTTATCACCTGTTAATTCCCTTCTCTAAGTTCTCCACCGCCTTAACCAGGTATTGAACTCACTCCTTGGGTCCTGTCACTGGATCTAACCAATGTCTTTATCCACTGAGCCATGTGTCCTTGAGGACATCTAAGTATGAATTTATGGGTATTATAAGTCTAATGTCTTCAGCAACGATTTTTTACCAGTGCTCATATTGCAATTTTTGTTGTCATCGCTTTTCTCTGGCACTCCTTATTACTGGTTCCCATAATGTATTCATTTCTATGCTTGGTCGGCTCAGGAGATTTTTGTGGCTTAGCATATGTGCCGATTCCTTAAGTTTATAAATTTTCCAATGGTGTTCTTTGTGATCTCAACCTGATCCCACAAAGGGCTGTGATCTCCATTTTCTCTCCATATGGCACAGTGGATAAAAAACATCTACTTAGTGAGCTTGAGTAAATGGATGGGGAGAAAAAAAAGTTTGAGAGATATCAAAAAGACAAAATTTATTAAGAGCTACAAAGGACAGGAAATTATGGAGAGCCATGATCAACTATGTCTTGAAGGGATATGGCACAGATGAAAATGATATATATACAATTGACACTGTAACAGCTGATGTAATTCAGACTGAAGTTGAAAGTGCCCCATTTTTTTCCTGTACAGCTCTATCGTAACAAAGTAGGTTACCAAGTATAAAAGAAATGAAAGCTTTCTCAGGTTTTGTTTTTGATTCAGTCATTTGTTCATTTTTTACAGTTTAACACTTTGCAGGTTATTTTAAGCCAGAACTTTTTTTTGGAGTGGGGAGATAATGGTTTAGTGATACAAGTCTTACTAATTAATTAGTAGCTGGCAAAATATGTGAAGTCATACCCTTTGCCTAGATCAAGTCCCTCTGATGATGAAAAGTGTCAGCTAAGTTTTTCTTCACACATACCTTTCGCCAAAGGTATTTGCACATAAATGAATATAACAAACCTAATGGGAATTGGAACCCTGCTTTCCAATTAACAACTCAGAACGATTATCCATTACACTACCCACACATTCAAACTTACATCACCTGATATTCCCAAATGGTCACCCATCTAGATACTGACCAGGCTCAATGTTGCTTAACTTCTGTGATCATATGCGATTACATTGTTATATATGTGAATTTAGTTTTGAATAGTGATTGATTTGGATTTGTTTTTTTTGGAGGGGATGGGGAGAAGTGAAATTTATTTATATCCTAAAATTATTTTTGGGATCATAAAAGAATTTTTTGTGAATGAATATTGCATTAACATTTATCTGAGACAAGCTAGTTACATTCTATCATTGGTGATCAGACCCTGAGCGACCGCCAGTCAGGATGAATGGATGTCCACTCAGGGAGGCACCATTCCTTGAAAGACTACTTGGCCTCAAACTTGTACCTGGATTCAAGTGAAACTCATACATATGAACCATTGATAAGAATGCAGGTAAAATGGTCAGCTCCCTGTACCACTCCAGTAAGCACCTTCCTATTAGCAAATCATCCACATTGCCTCTGTGTTCAATTGGTGAGAAGTAAGTTCAACTCAAACAGCTTCTTCCAATGAACTATTGCTCTGTGGAACCAACTCTCAAAAGGAGGTTTCCCCGGGAGCAATCACAATAGTCTTAACCTGTTCATTTGCCTCCTAATGTGACCCTCTAACTTGAGTGGCTCCCGGGACTTGTAAAGGGTGAAAAAACAAAAATTTAAAACACACAAACAATTTAAAACACACAAACAATTTAAAACAAACAAACAATTTAAAACAAACAAACAATTTAAAACAATTTTTATAGATACAAGTTCTACTATTTAACCCATATCTGGGAGAAAATAACGGATTCATACCTTTTCCAATGTTATTTTCATGTAAGTGAATGCGACCCAACTGGAACATAGCTCTCAAATTTTGAATTCAGAGCTCTTATCCATTACACCACCCTCACATTTATTTTTAAGTAGAAGTGCTAAGAAAGTTAATGGAGTTAAAGTACTTTTCACATTTACACAACTTTAGTAAAAATTATATCTTTGAATACAAAGTAGAAGAATGTATTTAGGAATTACAAAAAAAATATCAATATTCCATCATTGTATAACACAAGACGCTGATATAGATCCAAAGCTATCAACCGTAAAGTATTCATGGGAAAACATGGAAAGTGCATTTCAAAATATTTTTCGAGCACAATGAAAGTTAAGATGAAAATGCATTCAGTGAAGCCGATATTCAATTGGCAAAACTGAATGAATTCAATTTCGTTTTTTTTTTTTTTTGATATTTTATAAACTGTTTTTTATACTGTTGTGGGATACTTATGTGTTTGGGTAGAAAAAAGTCACCATTATATTGCGGGTATTACCACTTTCATTGTGCTGTTTATAGATATCTTATATTAAATATTTATGGGCTCCTGGAAAATTTAGCCTACAAACAATATTGGCAGAAACATGTGAATACAGATAAAAATAAGTACACAAAACAATATAAAACAAACAACAATGCAAGTAATTAACAAAAGGAATAACATATGTTAGTCAGTTATGTGCCATACGTGAAACATGCTTAGGCGATACATGACTGAAAAGGCAGATTTTTTCCTGCAGTAGGTTGCCATTTCTTACTGCGGTAAACCAGTTGCCATCCAAGGCTATAGAACCTGCTCTGTTCTATTTACCCATAGCTGGGGGAAAGAGGATTCATACTTTTCCCAAGGATATTAGTATGTAAGTGAATGTAATGGATTCAACTTGGGAAAGGTACGAATGTTCACAACTGAAATGAAAGGAAAAAATATTAAAACTAGTTGTGTGTGTGTGTGTGTGTGTGATAGACGTGTGTATGTGCATGAGTTCAAAGTCAACAGAGGACTAAGGAAGTGAACACTTCCAGTGAGCAGATCACTAAATAACCTCTGACCCTTAAGACTAGACTAGATAGGAATATGAAACCAAAATAATACATAATAATAAAATAGAAAAAATTTAAAGTTAAAATAAATTTAAAATATAGTTATGAATAATAAACAATAAAAAGAAAGAAAGAAAAAGTGAGACTATAAAAAAATAGTTAAATATGAAAACTCCCATGATGCACTGGAACAGTCATATTGCTGCTAATTGAAGAAGAAATCAAACTGACTCTCTTCATCTTCAATGGCCAAATGAAGCAGTTGTCATGGGACTGGCCCTTCAACAGACCATATGTCAACTATCAGATGAGCACAAACGTTTTATCTCTGTATATGGACATTCTTTAAAATATACAATTTTCTCAGAAATGTATATGAAAAGTTTTAGTTGCTTTTGTTTACAGTTATTGGTATTATGTTGTATAGGTTTTTTTGTATTATATATATATATATATATATATATATATATATATATATATGCCCTGAAAAGTTATTTTGGATTGAGCTCTCTGGGAATGTGTGAGTTTATAAATTGTGACTATTACTGCTAGTAATATAATACTCTTTGATAAAAAATATAGCTCTCTCGGTCACTGGCATGTGCATCTAAAAAAAGCTCTCTCGGTCACTGGCATGCTCTAAAAATAACCAATTCATCATCCGATGTGCACCAACAGCTTAGGGGTAGATTCCGACTGACAATTTGGGTTTTCAACTTAGCTAGAGGTAACTGGACGTCTAGTCACACTGATGAGCTGTGATACAGAAAACAGTCTGTCTGATGACAATATATATATATATATATATATATATATATATACGCTTCTAGCATCTTCAATGCACCTGTTTATCGTTGCCTAGAAATCATCTATATAAACATTGACAGACTATCATCACTGTAGTGTCTGTATATTGTTTAATATGTTGTAATTGACATCTTTGATAATGGTTTATGTAAGCCGAAAGCTTAGATTATAATAAAAAAAAAATATGGATCATTATTGTGAATTTCCTTCGTTCAATGATAACGTTCTTAAACTTATCAGATGTTACGAAAGTTTACATAAAATAAATCGACAACATGTGTCTATATTATTTAATGAAATGTGTATAAATGAAAATATGCTGCCTAAATGTACACAATATATATATATATATATATATATATATATATATATGGGATAGAATCCATGAACCTCAGTGTCCAAGACAGAGTAATAATATAATAAAAAGCTCAAACACTAATATTCCATGGTTATAATTTCTTAATTTATTACATTGGAATCATACTCACGATCCAATTCATCAGGCCACAAATTCAAATATATATATATATATATATATATATATATATATATATATATATATATATATACACACACAAAAATTGAATGTAATCGAAATGAATCTCGTGATGAATTTTCTCAACCCATGGATAACAGGAAAAGCAAAGGAATTACATTCAGACAAGGCTGTCATCAGAATAACAGAGAACAAAGCTCTTCATCTAAAAATTCAAATTTCGAACCAAACAGGTGCAACTCTTCTGCAGACAGGAAATTTGATGTGTCAGAAGGAAAAGTGTTATTACAACTCTTTAAGAAGTATCTTTTTGTAAACAAACTTCTTAATGGACTTATTTGACCTTTACAGAATCAATTCGGACAGAATGAGAAGTCCTACCAGGATTCATTATTGGTGGCCCCAATCTTAGCAGATGACACCTTGTTGATAGTAGGTACAGAAAGGAAACTAGAACGACTACAGAAGGTATTGAAGGAAAGGGAGAAGAAAGGACTAAACACCAATCACAAGATAGGATGCATGGCTGTTAGCAAAAGGAACAACCCAACATGCAAATTAGAGATACAACAAACAAATAAAAATTTAAATATCTAGAAAGTGTTTAAACAGAGGATGGAAAGTTTGATAGTGAAATCTGAAGGCACGTTGGGATAGTGAAATCTGAAGGCACGTTGGGATAGTGAAATCTGAAGGCACGTTGGGATAGTGAAATCTGAAGGCACGTTGGGATAGTGAAATTGAAGGCACGTTGGGATAGTGAAATCTGAAGGCACGTTGGGATAGTGAAATCTGAAGGCACGTTGGGATGAAATCTAACGTTGATAGTGAAATTGAAGGATGGGATGAAATCTGAAGGCACGTTGGGATAGTGAAATCTGAAGGCACGTTGGGATAGTGAAATCTGAAGGCACGTTGGGATAGTGAAATCTGAAGGCACGTTGGGATAGTGAAATCTGAAGGCACGTTGGGATAGTGAAATCTGAAGGCACGTTGGGATAGTGAAATCTGAAGGCACGTTGGGATAGTGAAATCTGAAGGCACGTTGGATAGTGTAATCTGAAGGCACGTTGGGATAGTGAAATCTGAAGGCACGTTGGGATAGGTGAAATCTGAAGGCACGTTGGGATAGTGAAATCTGAAGGCACGTTGGGATAGTGAAATCTGAAGGCACGTTGGGATAGTGAAATCTGAAGGCACACGTTGGGATAGTGAAATCTGAAGGCACGTTGGGATAGTGAAATCTTAAGCACGTTGGGATAGTGAAATCTGAAGGCACGTTGGGATAGTGAAATCTGAAGGCACGTTGGGATAGTGAAATCTGAAGGCACGTTGGGATAGTGAAAATCTGAAGGCACGTTGGGATAGTGAAATCTGAAGGCATTGGGATAGTGAAATCTGAAGGCACGTTGGGATAGTGAAATCTGAAGGCAGAAAATGTAAAAGAACACGTTGGGATAGTGAATAATCCACGTTGAAATGAAAATTCCATTCAGGCCGGTATTTTTTTATTTTATCTTAAACAGAGCATTTTTTTATCTATAAAATAACAACGTTAAACATAAATAAATAAAATGTCTTTAATAAATAAATTGTCGGACCTTGTCCATTTCTTAACATATGACGTCATTTGTTTACATTTCAGTGCTCCAGTTATTAATGTAGAGATTCATGGAAGATTGTATTTATAACATTTTTTCATTTAAAAATGGTTAAGGCATGTCAGCGTATATGACAGTTCATAGGATGCAGGTTCTCATGTTTCAAAAAAATTTCTCGGACATTCAGGCCGGTAAATGTTATTTAATACTGTTTAAATCAAACATAAATAAAAAATTATATAAATAAATTGTCGGATATCCATTTCTTAACATATATATATATATATATATATATATAT